GATTTATCGGAAAAGGTATTGATCATTTGTCTTACATGAACAAGAATCAGGGGCGTCTATCCTCACCTGAATATTTGAGGCATTTTGTACCACCTCGAAGGTTCAGTCACTCGGTGTACCATCTAAAGAATTAATTTTTACAGCAAAAACCACCTTATGTTTGATTTGAAGCATTACGCCTCAAACATCCCACAGGAAAGACGCCTCTGACAAGAATTATGAATGAGTCACATTCTGTTCCGAGAAACTTGGAAGTTTTCTCTTAGTGAGTGATAACTTAAGTGTCAGAAGAAGGCATGTGCGAGTAATGACACGAATTGCAAGTGCAAAGTTAATTAAAAAATTATGAAATTCTTGCAAGAAAAGCTGTAAAAATACTGCGCAGTTGAACAATCAGAATCGAATAGAATTTTTTACTGGAAATACGCGGAGTTTTGGCGCAGATATCGATCAGAAGGATACGTATGTGTTATAGAAGACGCTAATACTAGAAATTTTCTAAAATCAAAAAACTTTCTTCTTCACTATTGTCATATGTTTACACAACAAAACAAAAAAGGAAGAAAATAAGATAGTGATTTTGATATTTTATACTCGATTTGTTTGTACTAACTAAATTTTGTTTTTACATCCACTTTTTTACTATTAAAGAAAGGTCAAGCCTTAGAAACTTGGACTGGTTCTTATCAGGAGGCGTATCACAAAAAAAGCTTAAATCAGACTTAAGTCTTCGTTATGTGCACTTGCGTGCTAATTTTATACACTCAAGTCTGACTTAAGTTTTTTCGTGATATGACCCCTAGACGCGCAATCCTCGAGACTGCCTTTGTGTAACTTTTTTTCAACGTAGTTGAGAATATATAAGCAGAATATGCCAGTTCAAATTTCAAAGGCTCGAGCTCTTTCCCTTTTGTTTGCTTGACTTTCGTCTATGGTCTTACAAAATGGTTTCCTGTGCGTAAAATACAGAAAAAAATCAGAAATTCCATGAACAAACTAATCATAAGAAAGAAAAATGGACTATTTTTTTTATTACGAGAGAGAAAATGTTCAAAAATGTGATCTGAGATATTCACCGGTAAAGAGAGAAAAAATGCTAAGCAAAGTTTTTCTGTAGTTCGGAGAGAGAGATAGATAACACGAAAACGTCATCGACGAATAATAAAACTTACAGAATATAGATAGTCTATCATAGCGAATCGATTAGAAATACTTCTAGCCGTTTTGGCATCTGCAGAGGGTGTCCAGAAAACGTTTTAGCTTTGTATTACACATTGGACCCGTTTACTATTGAATCAAAGAAGTTCATAACACTTCTCAGCTAGCCTGGCTGCTGACGCCTCCCTTCGGTCGGCATTCGCATTTCCTTGAATTTAGAAATATTTTTACATCTCTAAAGATCTTCGAACGTTCTCGAGAAAGTATTTTCGATTTACCTTAGCTTACGAATCTTACGCATCAAATCAGAGAAAATTTTACAACATATTTTAGATCGCCCCCTACCGAACGTCAATCGAAGGGAGGCGTGAGCATTGTTCTGGATGCAAAAGTCATGGAAGAGCGCTAATAGATATAGTCAAGGAACAGAACGAGCGCAGATGAGCGTTACATTATCAGTAAAACAAAAGTTAGTTAGAGAAAACTTTCTTATTTGAAAAACGTCATTCTTGATGGAAATGAACCTCTTTTGCTCGCGTCACTGATTTGTTCAAAACGCCAATCAATAAATGACCGGGGATGAGTCATTTATAATTATTCTGTGATTAAAATATTTTATATACAAAATATTGAGAGAGAAAAATATTTGATGACAACGAATAAGTTTGACAGTACTCGATATATACGAAGAAAAAATTCACTAGTACTAGCTGTCAACCTTTTTAGCATATTGATTTAGATTAAATGGATGAGGAAAAAGTTTTATTCTGACTCGTAAGAGATGTGGCAAACAGGAAAAATTCGACTGGAAAAACTTATTATGCTTTCTCTCATTAAGCATGCTGATTCCTATTTTACACACTTAATCTAATGTGCAAAGAAAAAAATTCTTAAAATTTGGTCATTGTATTATATAGTTGATTTAACGGTCATGAAATGCCGTTGCTACGACGTCAGACGTTTTTTTTCTGGCAGTGTTCCCTTTCCTCAAATAGATTGCAAAATAATTATAATCAATAATTATCCATTCAAAATAAAATTGAGCTTGTAATCGTTTAAATGCACTTAAACTATACTTAAATCACACTAGCGATTTAAATAAATGCAGTTTGCAACATTTATTTAAATTACTAGTATAGTTTAAGTGCATTTAGACCATAATAAGCTCAATTTTATTTTGAATGGATAATTATTGATTACAATTATTTTGCAGTGTATTTGAGGAAAGGAAAAACTGCCAGAAAAAAACGTTTGACGTCGTAGCAACGACATTCCATGACCGTTAAAGCAACTATACAATGACCAAATTTTAAGAAGACAGAAGCGTAAAAAAGTCTATGTGGAGGAAAATTTTTCATTTCTTTCAAGTCAAATTGCACGAAAAATATGGTTTAGAATCCAGAAAAAAACATTCTCGAGATCGAAGAGAGTTCTGTCCTCGGACAAATTTACATGAAATGTGGCAGTAAAAGACATGTGTCTATTACTAATAGAAATCTTCTTTTGCATCATCTACTGGAGAAATAATAGTGTCAATTTATGTATGAGTTAAACGGCTTGTTCAAGTATCATAAAACAAGTTCATCTTATGTTTTCTCCAATTATTTTGAAAAGATTTTAAGTTTTTCTTCGTCTATTTCTAGATTAAGTTATGGATATTTATGATGCTTGTGAACAAGGAGATGTTGAGGTATTAAAATCTCATATTTCTTCTGGTAAAAATATGAACACTTATAAATTAGTTTTATATCATCCTGATAAATCATCATTATCTACAATTACATCGTCAAATTCGACAAAAAAAGGCATACATGTTGAACTAGAAGATGATGATATGATGGATGAGTATGGTGATTCAAGTCAAGAATATTTTGATTATCGTTCTCCATTGTATTTTGCTATTGTAAATAATCAATTACAATGTGTTCGATTATTGGTAGAAAATAAAGTAGATCTTTATCGTTTAAGGTTTGTAGAAAAATGAAAATCTATTTTAACTAGAAAAAATAGTCTATATTTGTTTTGTTTATCCTAGACCATGGGGTTTAAATGCTTTATGTTTAGCTGTCTATTGTCGTCATTTACGTATCATTCAATATTTACTTATGAATAATCTCGTTGATCGAAATATCAGTGATAAACCAAATGCTACTGATTCTTATTTTAATTCATTAAAACCAACACATGAGCATAAGCAAACATTTTTAGGATGTCATCGAAATGTAGCACAAGACATAGGACAATTTCATTATCCATTACACATTGCTGTTACACAAAATTCAATTGAAATTATTAAATTATTAATTGAATGTGGAGGTACACTAGATACATTTTCTTCTCAATGAGCTTCAACTTTATCTAAGAATGTACGGGTATTGATCAATATCAATATTTTGTTTGCAAATTACATACCTGGAGTCTGTTTTTTTAGCTTAAGTATTCTAAAGGGGAGAATTAGGTACTACCTAAGAAATAAGTTTTCCCTTAAGTACGTTTCTTAAGTTAAACAGAGGTCATGCAGTAAAAACCACTCATATTTTAATGAAATTTTTTGAACAAAATTCTTCTGAAATTATTTTCTATCTAATTATTATGGGTCTGACCACGAAAAAACGTAAATAAAAAAGTTACAAATCACTTAAATAATTAAGTGAAAACTTGAGGATGACTGGGACGTCCTTTAAGTTAAGATAATTTCGAGAAATTCACTTAGTGAAAAAATCTTACTTAAGTCAAAATTTTCATTTAAGCAAAGTTTAAGTTTCTTTGAGAAACAGGCTCCTAATTTGTAGGTTTTCGTCTACTGTGTGCACAGTTGATTTCTTATGTATCTCGTTGAAAATGAATGAAAAGCAAGATTGCCTTATCGGTCATTTTATACGCTGTTTGATGTATGAGTAATCACTTTCTCGAAATATCGATACAGTAAGATGTTTATTAGATAAACAATTTACTGCATCTCTAGACAAAATGTCTTATTTTTCAATAACATAATGTTCGCACGATATTTCATATTATTAGCTTCTATACGGCTTGTCCACGTAATTCCTATGGCAGAGATGTCACAGCGTTACTTTTTTTTACTCGTTTTGTTTCGATTCTAACTCCAAAACTAAAAGTCGTAGAGAGTTTGAAGACGTTTTAAATTATAGAAAAAACTGTTTTCTACATTTCATCTGATCAGCCTTTAGGAAACCTATCTCAAAAAACCTATGGTCAAGATGCTGAGATCTATACCTTTAGTTCCAATTCTTAAAAGCAGATCTCAGTAGTTTTATGAGGATAGGTTACCTAGAGTCCGAATAGATCTCAAAATGCAGAAAACAGTTTTTTCTTTAATTTAAAACGTCTCCGAACTTTCTACAACTTTTAATTTCGGAGTTATAATCAAAACATTATGAACAAAAAAAGTAACGCTGTGATATCTCTGCCATAGGACTTACGCGGACAAGTCGTATAGGTCTTTCAACGATATTTTTCGAATAAGCACATCTGTGTTTTGCATAATTTAGCGCATATTTTATTTATCCGTTTCAACGTAAACTATTGAGTGCTGCAGACGTTTGTTCACTACTGACTCTCTAAAAGCTATTCTCTCTTGATGGATCTTACAATGAAAGTTATGAAATTTTTGTTTTCTATTCGTATCCACTATGAAAAGTAGCGTTTGATTGTATTATTGTTTGACGACATTTAAGAATGCCATCATATTTCTTATATAAGATTTAAAACAAACATCTTTTTGTTGAGAAGTAAAATATCTGTCTGAAGATGCAGTTTCCCTCAGAGTGTGCGAATCGTTTATCTAATTAGTGTGTCAAGAAAGTGATTACTCATACATCATACAGCGTGTGGTATGAACGATAAGATAATCTTGCTTTTTATTCATTCTCAGCGAGATGCACAAGAGATGAAAACCTTAAATCCAATTAAATTATTTGAAAATAAAATATTGATATTGACTGATACCTGTCAGAGATAGGCAAGTACTCTGTTTTTTAGTCCGAGCCAGATATTTTTAGGATCTTGTATTGTTTTACTGGAACGACACACTATTTCTTTAAATGCCTACCTATATCAAAGATTTTTCTCTACACTAAAACCTAAAACTGATCTGAAAAATTAGTCTTAGTCCAGTTAAAAAAGCTGTCAGTTCGAACTGAGACTTACCCATCTCTGTCTAATGCCTACTTCATTTTATCACATATTCTCGTTTAGATAAATGTGATATCAACATCAGTGAACCGTATACAAAACGTTCTGCTTTACATATTGCGGCTACCACATGTTCTCGTGATTGTATTCATGTTTTACTCGCAAATGGTTGTAATCCAAATTGTAGAGATGTTAATTCACGTACTGTTCTGGATTTGGCATGGAATAAATTAAATAATATTGAATATGAATATGATTATCGTGAAGATATACTCAAAGATTTATTAAGTGCAAAAGCACAATTTTCATCAATTAAATCATTAACAGATTTTTATGCCAATTCATTACCGGCATTTCGACGATTTGAAGGAAATTTATGGATTGTATTTTCCTATAATTTACAATTAATATTTATTGATCATAAACAAGGTGAAATAGAAGCAAAACAAATTTTATTAGCAATTTGGAGATGGTTTAATGATAATTATCAAGATACAGTTATGCAAGAAGATGAATTTGATCGACATTATACTGGTAAGTAAATAGACTATTATCCTTTTCTGAAAATGAGGCGACTCGGGATTTGAACGAAAAGTGATAGAGACATGTGGCTTTCACCGTTGGATAGAGCATATCAGAGGAAGTAAGTGTATGCAAAAACTAGGCTTCCAGGTAAGGTTTACCATGATAAGCCTTTGGATGTAAAGTCTATGTTCTATCCTTATCTTTCTCAATCAACCAAAAACATAGATAGCTTTTCTGTTCTGTGATGTAATGTCTGTCTTAAAAACACGTGCTATCTAGTCTTGTTTCATCATCTCGATACTACTTGTATTACTCTCTGTCTACATCACACGTTGTTTCTATCTATAACATCTTCTCTCTATAACTCATCACAGAGTATAGAGGCTTTGGTAACTGATCAAGGATATAAGCTGTATGGGTTGAGCAGCAGGGGTACAACACACTATAGCAATGCACAGGATGGAGATGAGAACACCTCAGAGTTTACTTTTGGACAATTTAGTCCAAAAGTAAATTCTTTGCATTTGAATTCAAAGTTCGATTCTATCAACTGTGTAGTGTTCTTTTGTGCTTTGCTTCTTTCTGTTCTATCCTTATCTCTCTCTCAATCAATCTATGAGGCCAGCGTTCCTGGATCGTACAATGGAGTTTGATTTTCAAACAGTGGAATCGATAGCCCGAACAGAGATCTACAATTCTAGATCAGTCTTAACTATCGATCTCTTACCATTCAAGAGCTATAAACATTTTCTCGAGAGCCCCGATTTCGACCAGTTGACCTTGGATGATCCTAAAATGGATGACGATAGGGATAATCGGCCAGACTGAGTCGAGTGGTGATGTTTATTTTTAGTTTTAAATTGTTCTAAAGTCACTATATCAACAGATTTTCTAAATATCCGCTCTATACGCAACATAGCGATTAGAATATTTTAATTTGAATTCTGAGCCTAGCCACCTCATTTTCAGAAAAGGATAATAGAGATTTTTATATAAAAACTTAAAAATAATCATTTTTTTTTTTTTTATCTAGGCAGTATATTACGTAATATAATTCATGTGATGTATGTTAATGGTCAAATATCATTAAATTCAAAAGAATTAATTGAACTATTTCAAGAAGATTTAGGTAGTCATTTTGATGAGGCCACTGATGAAATTGATATTATTCAAAGTATTCTCTCCACACCATTGAAACTCAAACAAATGTGTCGAAATTATATTCGTAAACAATTATGTTATAATGGACTCAATTGGATAAATATTCAACGTTTACCAAAATTAAATGATGAACTTAAACAGTACATTCAACCTTGAATAAACATACATAATAACAATTTTTCTCTCATTCTCACCATTTTTTTGTTTGGTCGGTTTAATTAGTTTTTTTTTTTTTTTTTTGTTGTCAAAAGTATTTAGCGGTTTTGTTCAAATTCTCACATTCATAGCTTATCAAAATTTTTTCTATATATCCTCATTTTTTCTGTATAATTAAACTGTATACTTTTGTTTAGAATAAATCATCTGTGAGAAATTTTTTGTGTGTTTGTTTGTTTTTATTTTTCGTCCTTGTCTACTGATGCTTTTTATTCCTACTATTTCTGTTTTTTCGATCAATATGTTTTCCTTTTCAATGTATTGATATGAAACGATCGTTGTATTATTATAATTTTCAAAAATAGCCAAAGTTTAATTTTTTTTTCTCTCTCTCTCTTTAGCTGACCGTACTACCGACTTTCTGATAATATAACAAAAAACCGAAACTCGTTCGACAAATCGTCAGACATGATAACCAATTTCTGGCTATTTAATCGTTTTTTTTTTACGTAAATATAACTAGTCTCCTTGACATTCGTCTACTCATTCGTTGTTTTATTTCTTTTTGCTGTTGTTTGCTTTGCTTTTTTGCTATATGTTTCGTGTCCTGTATCTTTGCCGAGTGACGTTTAACAATGTCAAAAAAAAATTGTATTCTGCTGCTTTTTGTAATTAGTCATTTAAACTACGTTTACTTTAATTTATTTTTGTACTAGAAGAAAAGATAAATAAAAGTTGATTTTTTTTTTTCTTTTAAAAAATATTTAGGTTTTAAACATAGAGTGTAAATAGATTTTGCTGGATTAAATACCGAGACGAATAAGATGTAAATATAGTTTAAGATGGTTAATTTATATGTATTTGAAGTGTCGAAATCTGTTTGTTCAACGTTTGTGAAAATAATAGAACATGTCTGACATATTTTTATCCTAACGAGTGGCGCTGAATAAATGAGCCACTTTTGTTCTTTGTTTTTGAGATACTTTTCAGTAGTCCAAAGAGTTGGTTCTAGGCTCATTCGATAGAGAATGGAATTCTCTACAAACTTGCTATTTAAATCTCTGATAGCATTTTTCTCGTTTGAGTAAATGAATGATGCTGAGTTGTCGAACTGCAACATACTTTTGTCGTCAGCTTTTTTCAGTTTTTTAGCCCATTATCTGAGGTTCAATAGTTGATTTTTCTACGTACAAAGATAGAGAATTTTATGCTCTATCGATCTCGTTCATTCACAACTTCATACAATGTTTCCGCTACGCCAGCTAGACTCTTAATTAGTTCTCAACTGGCTTTTCAATTTTTTCAAATTAAAATAATTTTATTAATTAATGGTTTTAATTGAAAAACTTTGTTTAATATCAAAAGATGCAGAATTTAATTCTGTGTCAAATAATAAGACTAAAACGTTGGATTCAAAACGTTTTACTGCTTTTATAGTTAAAAAAACTAAAGTTTGTGAAAAATAAGTTCAAAAGTTAGGTTTATCAGTTTTTTTGCACAGAGAAGTTTTTCTAGAAGACTTAACTGCAAAATTTCGAAACAATATGTGAGAAGATACAGAATTTTCCGGTGAGTCTTCTGATATTTTCAAAATTCTTATGGAATCTATTTTTGGATCAAGGCAAATATTTTTTTGTTTTCAGTGGGTTGCAGTGGGAAAATACAGCATCATTTATTATTTTGAATGATGTACAAACGAGAAAAATGCCATCAAAGATTTAAATAGCAGGTTTCCAAAGAATTCCATTCTCTATCGACTGAGCCTAGAACCAACACTTTGAACTACTGGAAAGTATCTTAAAACCAGAGAACAAAGTGACTCATTTATTCTGGGTCACCCGTTACATAACAATTTGCTCTCCTTTACATATTTGTCGATGATATAAAGTTTTTTACTTTGAACATATTTAGATCTGTTGTACATTCATTAATCGGAGCATTCAATATCGGCCAATGATGAAATTAGTTTCTACTTTTTCAAAATCGAACTGGACTGATCGACAAAGGAAATATAGAACTGTAGTAAACATTTACGATTTCTATTACAATATTTTATTCATTGATATTTCGATAGTTAGTCTACTGTCATCATCAGAATGAAAAAGTTACAAATGTACAGAAGACTATCTAGTAGGTTAGTATTCAAAACAGTAAGAAAGAAAGAGAATTTTTACACATTTTTGTTTGAATATGTTTGATTAGAACATTGTTTTTTTTGCGCCGATAAATCTTGTATTCTATGAGTACTAAATCAGCCAAATACTTTTTTAATTTTAATTTAACTTTTTTGATTGTTTTTCCATGTGATTTGTGTGTTAGTAGACTTTTCTTTATCATACGTCGTTTCCAGATTGATTCGAGTGCCAGTGCCTTTGCATTATCGAACTCTATTGACTATTTATTTGTATTTGAATGTTGAGCAATGAGAGAAGTTAGTTTGTCTTTCTTAATGTCATTCTTATGTTCTGTTATTCTAGTTTTCATTTTTTGATTTATTTCTCCAATATACTTTTTATTACAATCTTTGCAATTCATACGATAAACAAGTCTCTGTTCTTTTCTCGTTTCATCTATTCCTTTTTGAATTGGTAGAAAAATGTTTCTGAATATGAATAATTTATGAAATGCTAAATTGATTGTTGATTGATATGATCAATCATATACAAACAAAAACGTGTAAAAATTCTCTTTCTTTCTTACTGTTTTGAATGTTAATCTACTAGATAGTCTTCTGTACATTTGTAACTTTTTCATTCTGAGGATAACAGTAGACTAACTGTCGAAATATCAATAAATAAAATATTGTAATAGAAATCGTAAATGTTTACTACAGTTCTATATTTCCTTTGTCGATTACTGCATTTCAAAACTGCATTATCAAATCAATTCATCGAACTGAATTAAATCGATTTGTTTTCTAAAAAACTCAGACTGAACCAAAAATAAATATTACAGAGCAGAAAGAGGTAAAGACATATTACAAATGCTCAGGGATCTGCTTCCCATCACATAACACACAGTGTGCATCCAGGCCGGCTTTTGATGAAAAAATGAAAGTTGATTTTTCAGTAATTTTAAGGATGATTAATATACTTTGAAACATACTCTATTTAATGGCAAAAAAATTTGATGTCCTAGAACTTATTTAAGCTGGGAAAATCCTATACACAAAACACACTAAAAAACCCGTGTCCATCGGAAAATCGGATTATACGCAAAAATTTTAAAAAATCAAACATAGCTATTGGGCAAACAAACATATATTCGGAATCAGCATCAAGTGTGCTATTGATTGGTAAAAACTTTTCTATTTTTGGGCTTTCTAAGTTGAAGAAAAAAAATAAAACATTTTTCTAGCGCGTTTTCCCAGGAGGTGTGTTTGATGCAATGCGTACCCAAACTTTAGCGAAGATCCAATTTTGATGAAATTTTCAGGGAATGCTGTCTTATATATAACATGTCAACACAGTTAGCGCCAATTAGCGCCGACGCTTCTGGACCAATTGGTAGGTTTTCCAAAAACGTCCTAAAAGCCTTGATTTTCACGCTCGATTCCTCTTTTTCAGACACCAAAGCATTTCCATTGAAAACTAATGGCATATTCAGAATCAGCGTGTGAAACTGCATCGGATGATGTATGACACAATATATTTTCCAACAAAAACATTTTCTCGTAAAAATGTAGGCGAGGGCCCTCAGGTGTTTTTCGTCGAAAAACATTTTTTTTCAAAAAATGCTTTTTTTTCTTAAAGATGGTTTTTGAAGTGATATACAGCCATTTTTGAGCAAAAGAAACCCGTTTTTGAGCACGAAAGTTACGTGACCGCCTGCTATGCAAAAAATGCACACTGTGTAACAACATCGTCTCATACATATCAAGTAAACATTGCTTTTTGATCAGCAATAATCTAATCGTAGAGTATAAACACAACATAAATCTGTGATGATGGAAATGCAAACACTAGAGATAACATAAGTTATCCATTCATATTTAATCAATGACAAAAAGTTTGTTTGTATTTTTGATACAAATGTTTGAATAAAATGTTGAAAATAAGTATAAGAGAAGATGAAAACGATAATTAGATGACTTTGCCAGTCAAAAGACGAAAATATGTTTTTTTATACAAAAGTTCAAATATTTCTCACGTGATACAATAGAATAATAAGGACTAGACGACAATAAGAGTATGTTAGATAGTGAAGACAACAAATATTATATACGTTCTTCAGCTTCTAAGAATGTTTATTTCACGTGATACATTTTTAATCTAATTGAAATAATTTCTTATCGAGATCTCTCAGAGGAAACCAAAACTTCTAGGTCTAGTCGTCATTCGATAATTCGATCTTTTATCCTCAGTTCATTTAAACGAGACGTTTCTATTTTAGGAAATATAATCACGACATAATATAAAGATTCTATTATGGATTCTATCTGGTTATGTTTTAATCTTCTAACGAAAAACTTTGCGTTCAGGTCTTTTAGAGGCAGTTAGAATATCCTTAAAAATATTAACATTGATTTTTGAGCTCAAAAATTGAATGGATTTTATAAATTCTCACAATTAGTTCAATTATTTAGTATTTTTTTGATCGATGAATCAAAAGTACTTTTCTGTAATAAAATAAGTCAATCACGAGCAGAGATTTTCATATGTGAACTTGAACGGTGTTTTATATCTTATGTACAGAAACATGTCTGACTAGAGCTTTCTGTGCCATATGGTAGATAATGTGGACTTCTTTGGAAAAACTACATGTTATAGTTTTTTATTTAATTTAGGATTAAGTATGGGCTGTTTTTTTGTGAAAACTTCCAAGGACACGTCCGTTCTCCAAAGGAGATGGAAGTTTGAAGTTTATTTTTTTTAGAGAGAATTCTAGAGGAAAATGGACCTCGGAAAATGCTGAGATTTACATAATCTTAAAATGGAGTTTACATAAACCCCTCCCCGTAATAGAAGACCACCTGATCTTCTATTTTGTCCCGCAAGTCGAGTTCTAAAGGGTAGTAGGCTATTACGATCAAATTTTGTCGCCTGCTAGTAGTCCAACGGTAACCCCACACATACTTGAAGTCCATTCCCTATTAGAAGTACATTTTGGAGAAATGTTTTTGAAAACTGCCCTATATAGAGCATTTTCCGACGTTTTGGGGAGAATATAATAGAAACCCATGGTCTTCTATTTGACTTTCAAGTCATATAATCGGCAGTGGTCTTCTAATGGGAGGGGGGCGGGGGCGTATCTTAAGTTGGGATTTACATAGTCTTAATTTCTTGTTAAGGATAGGCAAGAATGTTGGTAGGTAAGGCTGTAGAAATAGAGTCGCGCCAGTGTTTTTATCACCTGTTTTTGTAAAAGTCACGGAAGTTTTCACACTTTTTGCTCTACAGGAGCAACGCTGACAAACTTTTCCTTTTCTTTTTATGTCAAACATCACTGTAGCGAGCTGTGCTGAGTTGATATTCGTACTGCATGATAATATTAAAATGATTTCACTGCACATTATTTATTTTTTAAATTTCAACTTGTTTATGAAATTTTGCTCAATCGTTTGATCCTGTTCTCTCACTTGTCACAAATCTCAATTTTGACCTTTATTTTACATTTTTTTTCAATCAATTTTGTGGAGTTTCTCTCATTCATTATTCGTCGATGAGAGACATCTCTAAGAATGTGAAAGTCTTCTGTTTGTATACTTTTGAAATAATAACTTGAATTATTGATGAGTGATGAATTTTTTTGTTCTATTTGCTATATGAGACTGAAAATTAAACATAATCAAGGACAGAGATAGAATTATAAAAGTTGATTACAAAGAGTCTGAATCGTTGAAGATTTTATAAACCATTCAGACACTTGTCTCTCACTCCCTCGTGAAAAACACATTTTTTCATAAAAAAATTGACATTGAACTAAACACATGGTTAGATAGCCAAAGATATCTTCTCTTAGAATTCATACTGTTTTATAAATATCAAAGAGTTCTGAGGATTTCTAAGGGAGTTTTTTAAAACGCTTAAAAACATTTTTGTATTTCAGTAAAATGCTCGCATCAAAAAGGATTTACTGATAGTAGAATAAACGTGTCTTGTTAAGATGTGATGTCTCTTAACTTAGAGGAAAATTTATCACAGTTTTATTAAGAGCTCTAAAATCTGTACTATGTTCTAGCGGTCATCATATCCCAAAACTTTGTTGTTTTCTGTTCGGGTTATTTGTATTTCTAGGAAAATCTTTCGTGTAAATAGACGTTGGAGAGCTCGAGTTGATTCTTAAATAAATTTCACACATGCGAGTAGAGGTAGTTTTTGAATTTGCTGTAGTTTTCGCCAAGAGATGAAATTTTTAAAACTCTTTGGAGGATTTTTAACTTTCAATAACTTCGGAAAATCAGTAAATATTCAAAAATCGGACTGTATCAACTTCTAGCCGAATGTGTTAGCTTCATTTAGAAACCAACCCGAAGTTTCAACATCTATCTGCATACAAGATTTTGGGAAATACAAATAGTTTTATTTTAACCATTGTTTTTGGCGATATTGCGCTATCGGATAAAAATTGAGTCAAAAGAAAAACTTTTGTCACCATCACTGTAGAGTTTAAAAGTAGTTTTTAGAACGTCAAACATTATCAGACTCTGACAAAAGGTAATTATAACTAGAGTTGAAATGTCTTTTTAGTTTTACGTTGACTGAGCGTTGTTGTCCCAAAATAACATAAAAAAAGTTTGATTAATCCGAAGCTCTCCCGTTAAACATAAGCAAAAGTGAATCCTTGATGATCAGTAGAATAAGGAGTGAAGAGTGAAGCTGTTTTTAGCCGCAAAACTGTTTTCTAAACATATCCCTGCAAAAACTTCGGTTAAAACCAGTTTTCTCTCACTTACTAACCGGAAAAAAAACATTATACACAGTTTCGCTCTTTTGGTAAAGCAATTGCCAACTTGATTTTTCTAAAATTTCATTGTCAAGAGAATGCGCTCATAAGATTTTACTCGTTTACTGAGTTAATTATAATGTCCATTGTAAATCGTGGCGAATTTTTGATTTATAAAACGAATATAAGTTACGTTCGGAAATAAATCAAATATCAGACCAATTTTATAACATTTTTCTTCCACTCACTCTCATGTACATGGGTAACATCTCCTTTGTCAGAAATACCATGCTTCAGGACGTAGACGATTTAACCGAAAAGAGTAAAGATTTCTCGACAAAATAAGACGCCACCTGGTTCTTCATGACATTTACTTTTTATTATTAAACTGTGCGGCTTGTCCAGCTAACAGTCTCATTTTTTCGCTCTTTTTCAAAGAACTATGGCAATAAAGTTAGAAAATAATCTAAAATTACAACTAGATAATTAAGTAGATTAAACATTTCTCTACAAAATGAAAAGTATCTCGGCTCTGAATGTTGATTCATTATGAAAATACAGCTGTTGTACAAACAGCCCCAAAAATCGATTTTGAAGCTGTCTGAAAAACGTGTTTAAAAGAGCGAAGACGAGCAAGCAAAAATTGAAGAAGTACACCAGTTTGTAGAAAATTGTTTGCTCTACAAGGTGTGATAGCTTTTTAAGTTCGAAATTATTCTAATTAATCTATATTAATCAAAGAAAAGAGGGGACCTGTTTGTACAACAGCTGTATTTTCATAATAAATCAACATTCAGAGCTGAGACACTTTTCATTTTGTAGAGAAATGTTTAATCTACTTAATTATCTAGTTGCAATTTTAGATTATTTTCTAATTTTATTGCCATGGTTCTTTGAAAAAGAGCGAAAAAATGAGACTGTTAGCTGGACACACCGTGTGCTCCATTTAGAAACGATTGCAAGCCGTCTAAACTAGCAAAATCGACAGAAAAACAATCCATTTAGAATCTTTCATAAATTGATGAATTTAAAGGTAGACATTTTTATAGTTTTGATTTTAACCACCAACTGTTCAAAACGTGTTATTACAAGTTTGATTAAGAAAATTTCAAATCAATTTCTGTGCTAAAAAGAAATACGTATATATGTTGTTTACATATCACCGAAAAAGGAACCTATTCGACTAGTTGAGACTAGGATAAATTAGAATTACAAAAAATGCAAACTAACGCTGTTGAACGTATTGCCAAATATCCATGACTAATAGGAAAAATGAAACGCTTATATAGCTTTACAGAGGATGTTCAACCATTTTCTTTTAGTTACGTTCTGTTCTTTAAAAGTACAAACAACTATTTTTACAAATAATTAAAGTGCAGGTAATTCAAAAAATCAGTAAAAAATGTTTTCCATTTTTTTTTGTACCGGTTGGATAGAGTTCGTCGAGTTACCAAGAAAAAACTTGATCTTAGATTTTCGGAAGACATTTTTTTGATGAAAAACTTTCTATTTTTATTGATTTTTAAAAATGGATAAAACAGAGGAAAGTTTTGAATACTAATCATAATTTTCATGTTTTGTCGAAATTCCAGTGAAAAACCATGAAATTGAACTCATACTTTGTCGTTTCCTGTATCGAAATTCAACTTTTTGACAAAAATAATGTCATCTGTGGAATCAGTGTTAAAAACTGAATTGAAACATGTGTGTTTCGGGGATAATTTTGAATTTTAAGTGAAAATTCTAAATTTTTAAAAGTTTGAGAAAATCGAGAAAAAACCGAAAAAATACGGATTAGTTATTTGTTTTTAATTTCCTGCACTTTAAAATAGGAGACAAAACCACATACTTCAAACATAAAAGAATTGCACAAATAATGATAAAGCCTAGCTAACAGAGAAAATGAAAGAGACGTTGAGATTACAAAGAATTGATAATGTAGAATTCTGTATTTTACAAGTTATTTATCGTCTTTTAGGCGGTAATCTATCCATCATTGCGCAAAGATCATCATCATCTTCATCATTGTCATTTTTACCACCACGTTGATTTTTATCGAAACTAAAATCATTTATTACATTCATCAATTTTGAATTATGACCACGCTAAAATAGTCGTAAATTACTGATTCAAATAATAATAAGTTTATTCTTCCTCTATAATACCTTGGTCACATCAATATTGATATCATTGTTTGATGGTGGTTGTCTTTTCTCTTCGTTCACTGCCGGCTTTTTCACATATATTCTATAATTAAACAAAACAAACAAGTATGTAACACAAATACACTCAAACATGTTGTTTTCATTCAGAGATGCCTCAGGGTTCACTCCTGGGCCCCTTTTCTTTCTCATTTTTATCAATGATTTATCCGATCACATTTCCATATCTTTGATTGCTTCTCTTTTTGCTGATGACTGTACTCTACTCTCTCCTGCAATCGTTCTTGCTAATTGTCAATCATGCATAAATTCTATCGAAGAGCGGTGCACTTCGCATCTTATATCTATCAATACTTCTAAGTGTGAATGGATGCTTGTTTCGAATTCTCCTCAATACGAGATCTTCTTCAGTTCAATCTTGTAGGTGTTTCCATTCAGAGAGTAGAAAGTCTGTGTTTATTAGGTGTGACTATGTCTTCTAATCTTTGTTGGGATCTTCATGTAGACAGACTAGTTATTTCGCTTAGACGTCGTTATACGGTGAATAGAATATTCAGAAATGCTCCAGCGGAAATCAAGCTACAAATCTATCGGACGTGCATCATGAGTGCTATAGACTATGAGTCAATTGTTTTCGACAGAGTTTGTTTACGTCTTTCTATTCTAGGCTAGCAGCACGTATGATTTTCATTCTAACGGTGATGATCTTCTCCGTAAACTAAAGCTGCCAGACCTTGGCTCCCGTAGACGCTACTTTCGCCTTCTACACTTTTATAAAGTGTTATTCGACATCTCTCCTCTATCTAAATTTTGTATCATTTCCATGCATCACACAAGATGCCAGTCTTCGACTAAACCAAAATCCTTTCGCGGTGCTTGTTTCTTTTACATAAAAAAAAGTGAACAAGGAGCATTCTTTTATCTAACAGCGGATGAGTGAAACATACTTCCACCGCACATCATTAGCAATCCTGATCCTGCTAACTCTTCCAATGCTATTGTTGTTTCTTTATCAGTCTTTAAAGCTCGCCGACGCGCTCATCTCCGTGATCAAATGTAAATGTTTTATTGCACTGTTGGCTGTTCTACACAGCTCTTCTACTTTTACTTGCTATTTATTGTACCCTATTTTTCTTTTGTGCGTTCATATTTAGAAAGATTTTTGGGAGTAGTATTTACAAGTCGAGACTTTTCCTGTTTCCCTGCTTTGATTTAAGCTAAATAAATAAAACTGTAAACTGTAAAACTGTTTTCAATTTACTTTTCGTCACTATCGTCGTCTGTATTGAACAATGATAATTTGATAAAGTTGCTTTTTGATTCGGAACGATTGTTTCCAATTATAGACGATAATAAATTCAATTGTGAAATCATTGAAGGATCTGGATTAATCATATCCTATAGAATAAATATAATTTTAAAAGTCTTTTATGACATCATTAGTTTATCAACTATGTACAATATCTGATGTTGCATTCACAGATGATGATGTCATTGGTTTTGTAACAACTGGTTCAACTGAACGATTTTTCGAATACCTTAAATAGAAAGCAAAAAAAAATATCTTGATCTTTTAGTAAAATGATGATATTTTATTTTGAATATTACATATTTGAGCCAAGTTTAAATGGTCTTGAATTATCCGACGCTTGATAGGATTCACTGGGATTAAATGAATTTGTATTTTGTAATCGACCACGTTTGTACGTTCTACAATGATAGATGACTTATTAAAAAACAATGTGATTTTCGTAAAATTACCGTATTTCACCGGGTACTTGAAAGCTAGACGGTACACAACCACCAATGGGTAATAAAAATCGACCAGTCGATGTTTGTACATTTTCTTTAAGAAATATTGATACCTAAAATCAATAAAATTATAATGTAAACGTACACATGACATTCGAACTGATTTCGATAGTAGGCTGTCAGTATTGTTGAAGTCAACTTTTTTGTATTTTGTACATACTCGAATATGAATATCTTGGAAAAATATTAATATTGTATGGCGAACTAATAACCATTCAACATCGTTCATGTCGTCAAAATGCTAAAATAAGACATTATGAAGTGTCTAGATTCATGATAAATTTCAAAATGTTTTACTTGATTAAATGTAAAATATGCTTTATCTAATAATTCTAAAATATTTGGATTTTTAATTAGTTTTCGAATTGCATTCACATGATTAAATGTCACTTTCTTGATATCATTTGCACGTGGACACAATGTTACTTGATATTTGATTGCCATTGTCATTAAATCATACAACTAAGAAATAACAGATTAGTTTATCAAAAATGTCTTACAAGGGAACCTATCGAACTGTTACCTCGTCTTTTCAGCCAAATCAGTGAGTTATAGGTATTCAACCACACTGATTCCGAATATGAATATGAGAGCTACCCTTAGGCCTTCGAGGACCCGATTATCTGGATTACCAGTTTAGCAGAAACTCTAAAAGATAACCAAAACTTTTTTTAATAAGCCATGATTGTAGCCCGCACATTTCTGATTAAAATGAAACATCTCCCAGCTCTACATGACCTTTCTTTGCAAAGTTATACAATTTACAAGATAAGTCCTAAATATTCATTGCGAACTCAAAGCTACAGAATTAAGAAGAAATTAATTTT